CACCCTTACCTATTCATCTGAATATTTCATACTGCTTTTTACCCAATATTTATTTTATGTTAGTAATGCAACATATGTAGTAATTCCATGCTGTCATCCTACACATTCTGGCTGCTACCACCTTTCCTTATAATTTCTAAAGTAATCTTTTTTTTTTTTTTAAATTTCAAGGTGTAGTCAACATTTAATTCCTGGAACCTGATTGTTGCAAAGTATTGAGAGAGTTGCCTTCATCCACATGCATTTGGGTTCAAGGACATTCAGGACTTCAGGGCTTGATGTAGACCTTGATGGGAGGGGAGTGGCCAGTCCCAGATTTACCAGAGCTCTCTGATCTTAGACAGGGAGTTTTACTCTGGGTCTCACAGTGAAATGCTGGACTTTACCTCCTAGAGCTACCAAGAAAACCTATCACAATCCTTCTCCCATCTCTGTGTAGCTGCTTCAATATATGGAAGTTTCCTGTGTCAGGCCAGTAAGCCAAGTTTATGGCAGTCCAGCATAAAAAATGTCCTTTATCTTTCTCCTTTCTACTGAGCAAAAGCATTAGCTTTAGATGAGCCTGAAAATACTTGATGCTCCTTGAAGATTGACCTGTTCTGTCTATAAGAGAACACATCTTTGAGAGATGGTAAAGTGGAAGGAATTCCTATTAAAATCATCTTATAGCAAATCATTATTCCAGTACCACGTAAAAGGAGAATATAACAGCAAAGCTCTCCTTGGGCATTGTACACTGCATAACTAGAGGCTGAGAGAGTAAGCTTCCCCTAAAGTCTCAGTTTTAAAATGAACAAGGTGCAAAAGCAGGGAAATGATGGATTTACACCGCAGCTCTGTGACTGAGCTGGCTTAAACACGGAGGTTGATCCTGCCCTGATCTAACCAGGACAGGAAGAGTGGGCCAGCCTGTGTGACTCTGAACCAGCTAAAGTGGGAGCATCAGCCAGGCTGGTTGGCATTGCTGGTGAAGCTGTGCCCACTTGTGCCTTGAAGGCTCTGCCTCATAGAGCAGCCAGGTTGTTCTCTGCCTCTGCAGCCCCTTCCAGCACTGATGGATTAAGAAGCAAACTCCAGGGACTCTCTCCAGCACTCCTAATCTTTAGGGATTAGGCATGACCACTTTCCTGTAGGCAAATGAACAATCTGCATTCCTTCTAATCTGCTTCCCACAAATGTTGAGAAGCCCTGTTATTAAGGTTACGGAATTGTAAGGATGTGGAAGCACCAGCAGAACAAATGCAAAACAAGCAGAGGATTTTTCTTCCTCTACATTTCCTAACCAAGCAGTGACAACTACTCACCAATATAAATTATTTGCTGTGCCATGATATTAGAAAATGTATCTGCTTTGAACATTTGTGCTGCTATTACTATACATGCACACACTCCCTTAAGAGTGATTCCAAATCACTTTATAACAAATAACTGAATTAACTGTATCTATGTGCCAGCAGATAATCCCCAAATAAGCTTCTTCAGAACCAGCTCTCCTGTTGCTGGCGAATGCATCCTGTGCTAAATAAGATGAACAGTGAAAGGGGGGCACCAATGGAAAACCAACGAGCACCATCTTCTTTAGAAGCAGCTGAATATGTGCATGTGTACAGACACATGCACGCTCTCACATGCACTGCAAGAAGCAGTGCCAGCGTTCTGCATAATCCTGGTGTTTAGACATTTATGCTAATTACTCTAATATTATTTAATGGCAGCTTTATACTTTAAATATTTCATTGGATAACCAAAATATGTCCAGCATTAAAATGCATCAGCTCTTGGAGCCACAGTCAGTTTTCTTTTTCAGAGAGGCAGACACTAATTTCCCCTGGTTGTAAAAATGTTCACAGTGCCTCAGCAGGCCAAAGGTTACCAGGCAAGCACACTGAAGAAGATGACTTTATCAGATAGCACACTTACGATATAGAAATCAATATTATAAAGGAGACGGGTTTTTAATTAATTTTAGACATCTTTGACCATAATTTAACTTTCTTCCCAGCTATTGCACAAAAAACACTGAGGTGTGGTGCCCATTTCATTTCACCATTGCTTTTTCCATTCAGAAAAACCTGATGGGATTTTTGCTTGACAGGTTTTTCTCGCAGAATAACAGGGCAGCCTCCCATCTCCCCTGGCCTGCATTCCCTGCACCGAGAGAGGCTGAGCACCGACACCCTGCACTCCAATTGCTTGCCCGCTGAAACTCACCCCCTCTGTCCCTGAAGGAGCAGCAATGCAGAAGCCAAGGAGTCGTTCCCATAGCCAAAAGATGATAGAGACCTCGGGGAAAATTAACATAACCATTGACAGTCCCTGAGAGCTCACTAAATAGCAGCTTGGGAAGCATCCTCCCCTCCGGAGAGCGAGGGTAGCAGAAACAGACACCAGCAGATAATGCTCCAACAAACTCTACCACGCTTTAATCTTCAAAAGCTACCATTAGTAAGCCAGAGAAGTATATTTACCCACCAGACAAACACCACAAGTTCAGTAGGCTACTCTCCATTAAGCACTGAAATAACTCCTCTTTCCTTTCACTTCCTACGGAGAGTGAGGCGCAGCACCGCAGCCCGCCCGGCTCCCTGGGAGGGATGGGGGGACACAGTGGAAAAGGACCAAGTGTGGCCGGGGGCTGGTGCCGGGGGTGGCACGGAGGAGAAGCCCGGGGGGAATTCGGGTCCCGGGCACCCTGTCCCCAGCGGCCCCGGGAAAGCAGCCGGCTCCGTCCCCGCGGAGTGATGGATGGAGGGAGGTGGGCGTCGCTTTGGGACTCCCCTTTGTTGGCTTTCACCTCCTGATCCCTTTCGCTTCTGCTCTGCTGGGCTGCAATAGCCAGCTCGGCTCCAGCTCCGCGGGTCCAGCTCCGAGTGACCTGCCGCGGAGGGGATGAACTGGGGACGGCCCAGGGAAAGGCGAGAGAGCATTATTTATCCACCACAACTTCTCATTGTCGCGGGGCAGCGCTCAAAAGATCCGCAAGCAGTTGGCTTTAAATAAAGCAGGCATTGCTTCCCTTGTATTTCCCCTCAGCAGTCGCCTTAGTATTATTATTATACTTCTATAGCTTTTGCTTTCGGACCTTATAATTATGTCACACAGCAAGGGAAACCGCCAGCATCCCAGCATCTGGTGTGCGGTTGCAAACTTTTGTTTTAAGATTTGAACTATTTATAGAAGGAAAACTTTGTAGGATAGTAATTTCCTACGGTTTTGAGAAAAAATATGGCTACGCTTATATTAAAAGGGTGTATTTATTTATTTATTACGATTCCTTCCTCCTGTATAAAAAAAAAATAATAACCACAAAAAAACCCCAACCAACCAAAGATAGCACGGCAAGCTTTTTTACAAGCTATCGGTCACCTACGCAGCAGACATATCCCTCCTGTGAACAGAAACAGGCAGCTCTGCTTGAATTAATCTAACGTGCTTCCGTAAATCTAAGCGCTTTTAAAAGTCGGTGGCCAAGACATGTGCATTTCATTAAGAATTAAGAATGTAGAAATAGGCTTTTCGTTTCTTATTATGGGCGTGTTTATTCCTACTTTTCTCCCATAGCAGTGGGATATGTTTTTTCCACAGCCCACAGAAAACAGACGGACACACACACGGAGGAACACACGCACACGTGCATGTTCATGTGCATGTGCTCCTGTGCACGCATACAGAGAAAAAAAAACCCCAAATATATATATAAATCCACGTACAGTTCAGTGGTAGGACCACAAATTCGCATCCGTCGGGGCACAAAAACCTGAGGTCGGCCTAGGGGTAGGAGAGTAGGGAAATCCGGCCCCGGCAGCCGGGATAAACGCGGGGCCGGGGATGCCGAGACGGGGCTCCCCATCACCGACAGGGGTGAACCCCTCTGCCGCAGCCCCGGCAGCCTGGGCAGGCTCCGAGCCGCCCCAGATCTCCCCCGGGCCCGACCCCCGCGCTCCGGCACGGAGACTCCTGGCCCGGGGCTGGGGGGATGCTCGAGGGAGGGGAAGGCTCCCCGGTTCTAAAGCGGCTCCCTCCGCCGGGTACCTGCCGCCGCAGCGCCCTCCTCTCCGCACGGCTGCCCCGCGGCGCGCTCAGGTCTCCTCCGGAGTGCAGGAGAGCAGCAGCCCTTGACAGGTCCCCGGCAGCCCCTCCGGACCCCGGCTGCGGTCCCGGACGGCCCCACAGCCCCGGGGACCCACCGCCCCCGCCACCCTAACGCGGGCACAGCGACCTGCCGGGGGACATGCGGGAGAACGACGGCGGACACTCTCTCCGCAGCCCTCACGGACTAAGCCCAGCCGCTTCTTATCCACCGCAACGATAGATACAGATATAGATATTAAAAAAAGAGACCGAAATTCCTCGCAGTCCCACCCACCGACTCTCATTTCCCCCACCCCTACCTCCACCCCCTTCCTCACAAGGAAAAAGTCCTGGAGCCAGCTCGAACTGCGGGGCTGGAGATCCCTCCGGAGCGAAAGCAGCCGGCCGGCGGGGACTCTCCGCGGGCGGCCCGGGCCGGGCGCTCGCCGCCGGCTGCGGCAGCGCCGCGCTCCGCGGGACCTCCGCGCACCAACAGCCTTCCCCCGACGGGCGCGAAGCGATGCCCATCTCCGGTTTGGCGGGAGGAGGAGTCGGGGTCGGAGTCCCCAGGGGAGACGCCGGCCGCTCCGCGCCCCGTTGCCCCGCCGCCCTCCCAGGTGCGCCGCCCCCGCTGCGGGCACGCCGGGCCCCGGCCTCGCCGGCGGGGCAGCCCCGGGAGTTACCTGGCGGTGCGTCCCTTCCCCCGGCGGGGTCCGAGCAGCAGCGCCAGCACCGCCACCAGCGCAGCATCTCCTCCTCCGCCGCCACCACCACCACCATCCTCACCACCACGCACCGCACGGAGCTGCCGCCCGTGCTGGCTTCTCCCGGCGCCCTCTGCTCGCTCTGCGCATTGCCCCTAGGTAGCTGCTAGCGGGGGCATTGCAAACAGTATTTGGAAAAAAAAAAAAAAAATCTGGATCACTTACAGGTAACTCCCACTGGTAAGGATGAGGAAAATCTGAGGGTAATACACTGAGAGTAACACACTGCGAGATGAAAAAAGGATCATGGCTGAATCCCGTTTACACTCTTGAGTTCGCTTCCTTGGTTATTCCTTTCTGGCCCCCCCTGGTCGTAATTCCCCACCCTTTTTGGTGTCAGCTGTGGCTTGAATCTGAGTTGGAATCCAGTCCCTTGGGCTTGGGGGGGCTTTGTCTGTTTGTTTGTTTGTTTGTTTGTATTGTTGTGTGTAGTATTCCCCTGGTGCTAATGCTGCTCCCTGTGCAGAGTGTGTGCTGCTGCTGTTGCTGCTCTCGCTGCTGCTGCTGCCTCTGGGCTCCTGCCTGTCATGTCTCAGTGGTTGGAAGTTGTTACAGTGGGTTCTCGTGTCGGAATGAGGATGGTTTAAGGGATTTGGATGGCAGAAAGTGCCTCTCTCTCTCTCTCTCCCTCTCTCTCTGTAACTCTCCTGAGGCCCGGGGCTGCCATTGGGCAGTCAGTCACTGCAATCCGCCTACTTTTTTCTCTCCCTCTCCCTTTTTTTTTTTTCCTTTTTTTTTTTTTTTTTTTTTTAGGGGGAGGCAGACAATGAAAAGACACTGATCTAGCCCGGGCTGCAATGAATCCGTGCCCCCTGGCTGAGCCCCCTCCGTACACCTCGCCCGGCAAGGCTCATTTCGCACTCCGTGGGGCATTTTTAACTCGCCCCCACCAGCGCTGGGTGGGCTGAGAGCTCCCTGCTTCTGCCGCGGCCCCGGGAGAGGCTGAACGAGCTGGCAGCTTCCAACCCCACTCTCGGCTAATTGCTTTATTGTGGCCGGTGTCCCGGTTCCACCGAAGGGTTCCGCCTTCCCTCCAGCCTCGGCGGGGGTTTGGCTGTTGTTGTCCCCCCGCGATGTGAAAAATAAGGCTTCGATTTCAGGAGCAACGTCAAGAAAAAAGGAACATACATGTAGTCATAGCCTTACTGGGTGAGAAATAAAGACATGCACACTCGTAGCTTCCTGGCGAGATTGGGTTTCGCGTGAGAGCAGCGAAGGGAAAGGACTGGTGTGGAACAGACGCTGTAGGGAGCGAGCGGGGGGCGGCTGCCGGCGGCTCCCGGCTCCCCACACCTCTCGCCACCCCCGCAGGAAGAGCTTTCGTCTCCGCTCTTGCCTCTGCTTCTCCCGTTTCCGAGAAGATGCGGGTCCGCAGAGGCGTTTCCCGGCAGGTTTGTTGCCTCTCCCCCGCCTTCCCCCTGAGCCGAGCGACTCCTGCCCCTTGGCACCGCCGCGCCCCGCGGCAGAGATGCTCGATCCTTCCCGCTCCGGCGGGCCTGAGCCCTGAGCCCTGAGCAGCCCCAGGCGTGCAGGAGACAGTCGCTCTTCCTCTGCATTGTTGGGAGTCTGTCCTTTATTCTTTATTTCGGAAGTGCTGAGAGCGATGGTGAAATACGTGCGCTGCGGATGCCGGAGCTGGGGGTTGAAAACGAACCCCGAAAAATAAAAGCCACCGAAGACACTTAAACTGAAATGCAGCTGAAACCAACAAGAACCAGGCTCCGAAGTGTCCTCGGTCTGTAAATGTTCGTCTCAGGTTAATTGCCTATTGACCGAAGAAGATGTCTTGGCTAAGAGCTCTGCCTGGTAACACCTCCCCAGTTAACCAGTCCCAGAACAGGGGTGCAGCCGTCCCAGCGACACAACGAAATATGCCCTCAGATGGACTGGGAATTGCAGAACTGGTGCAAAAACGTTGTATGCCGCTCAATATGCGATAAAAATCTTCTCGGGGTTTGGTTGCTTGAACCACTTTCATCTGCAAGTTCAGCACGGACGATGGGGCAGTCAGTGTCCTTTCGAGAAACGCTGATCCCGATTAACAAGAGACGGAAGCTTAAGCCTTTCAACGATTATTTACATCCCAGAACCGTCTTATTTATAACTATTTAAGATTCTAAAATGGACTTATTTATACTTCTGTAAGTGTTCATGCGAGTCTATATATAGCGAAATAGTTAGAGATGGATATATCGTCAGTGTCCTTTTTCCTGCTAGACTTGTGGCTGGGGCAGCTCTGCTGAACGTGAGACCAGGAGAACGAGCAGCCCCTTTGAATGTTTTATTTCTAGCATTTGTTCCGCTTCGGATAGGTGTTTTAAATGTGCGTCTGCTTTTAAAGATGTGCTTGGGGGGGGAAGAGTGGGACAGCGAACTGTAAAAATGCAAATAAAATTTGGCACTGGAAAACTTCTGACTTGTGCTGGCGAAGTTTGACCCGCTTCACCTGAAACGAAGATCGTTTGCCAATTTCTATAATTTTCAGGTCGAAACTGACCTTATCCACAAATGTGTTGCGTAGGGGAAGAAAAGTCGAATGAAGAAATCAAACCGTGCAGTTTCTTTTCGGGGAGTTAATTTTTATTCTAAAACCACGGGCGGGTTATTATGGCGAAAAATCATTAATGATGGATGATGATGAGGAGGAGGATGAAGATTACGACGATGATGATGAGAATAACTTTGGAAATTCCATCCAAATGGTTTCCATACATATATCAGCTGGGGCAGTGAGAACAACAATCATTTTGTTGATTGAAGATGGAAACATTTCCTTCAATAAAATGTCACACTGGAAAAAAGGTATTGTCGGCAACGTCCTATATGGGCACTGCAGCATCTGTCACTGGCTCCTTTTTCCACAAACAGCTGCGTTTTGGACAAAATGAGGCGGAATTACACTGAAATAGTCGCCAACACTATAGTCGGGCAGGCACTAATAAACTATTTGCCTTTTTTTTTTTTTCCTCCCCTATTATCTATCTATTTCCAGCCGCGGATCCTTTTTTACCCCAAGCCTGGGGAGGGAGAGTCCGGCACGTCGGAAGCCGGGAAGATGCGCCAGGCGGGAACACCCCGGGTCCTTTCTAGGCGGAACCGGGCGTTTGCAGCATCTCATCGAGCTGCGAGCCCGGCGCCGGGGGAAAGAAGGCAACAATGAGTTTCAAAATGAGCGGTGTCTTGGGAGAGCGGGGAAGGGGTGGCGGCAGCACAGCCGCAGGTGCCCGCGGAGGGGTCGGGCAGCGATGATCCCGGCGCTCCGGGCGCAAATCCCTCGGGTCTGCTGTCGGGGCCTCGCCGCCGCTGCCGGCGCTCCACGTGCTGCCCGCCGTCGAGGCTGAGCTCCGGCCGCTCCCTGCCGGGGGCCGGGGCACAGGGCCGGCCCCAGCGGGCTCCCCGCGGCCGGACAGCCCCGGGGATGGCGAGGGCAGCAGGATTTCGTTGGCCTTTACGGCAAAGCCGAGGCGAACTTCGCGAGTGCGACCGGCTCTGGAGCTCCCCGCCGCAGCATCCCTGGGAGTCCCGGGAAGCGGAGTGCTCCGGCCTTCCCAGAACGGGCCGGGGTCCCCAATGTCCGTAGCCCTGTGTGCCCTCAGCTCGGATGGGCACGAAAGAAGCGTCCCTGCCGCCCCTCAAAGGGGTGCCGACACCTTTGGTTGTTCCCTTGGGCAGCGCCAGCTCCCGCCGCCCGCATCCCTCTAACGTCCTAGCGACCCTCTCTCCGAGGGAAAAGGGGGATCTTCCCCGCTCCCTTTGGAGGTGCCTCGCTGCTACCTTTCTTTTCCTCCAGAATAAAGAGGAAAAGGGTGAGGTTTGCCCCGTGGGTATTGTCCACGACTTCATCTTTCCAAAAGACACATCACTCATACCTAGAGCTCCCGCTAGCATTTGCATGTGTAGTACTGCTGTATTTTAAATTTCTGACGTATTTAATAATTAAAACGGTATCAGAAATAAACGGTATCCGAATGCTCTGTGATCTTGGCAGGAAATATTTCTGTTTCAATCCTGCCTGAGGTCAATATTTGATGTGATCTGCTATCGCGGGGGGTCACATGAAGTCAGCAAGGCTGCAGATACTTAATGCTTTGGTACCTGGAAACGTCATCGACAGAAATAGTAAGGGATGCTTCACCTCACCCCTGCTTCTCCAGCAATCTGGGGGACCGGAAACAGAAACGGGAACGACGGAAGATCCCCTAGAGGAAGGACTGCTTGAGTGGGACCTGCTCTCTCCTCCTCTCTGGAGGAGATAGTGGCTTCTTGGTGGGATCCTGCCATCTCACCCCACGCAGCACCCCGGCCCGTCCAACAGCTCATGTATTGCGTTACTTGCTCTCCCCTCGGCGTCATGTTTGCCACCGAAAGTGGAGCTTTTAGCACGTTTTATTGAGACATGAAGACGGGCTCAGCAGCAAAAAAAAAACCCCCAAAACAACTTGCCAAGTCTCCCCTCCTTGCCGTGGTTGACACGACGGCTCTCTCCTTCCCGTTGAAAATCAACAGAATGCCCTGGAAGACATTTTATCCACCTTCACCTCCCCCTTTTCAAAGCAAAGGGCTCACCAGAAAAGGCATCATTACACCCAAAGGATATGGTTTCAACAAAATGGTAGTTCCAGTGGCTGATGAAAGAGGAAATAATTGCATCCCACATGCCTAGCCTAGAAGTAGCCCAGCATCTCAGAGCAAATTTCTCTCCTATTGTTCAGAGAAAGTGAAGTATCCTCATCGCCTTACAGGCATGGTGATGGATCTGATAGGGTTTCCGTAAAGGCTTTTACTGTTCCTGTTGTCCACTCAGTTTCACTTCCAGGCTCAGTCCGACAGCATTCTTGTGATTTTTTGCTCTGAATCCCCTCCTAAAACAGCCAAAACCAATTTCGAAGAGAGATTTGCCTTCCAGACTGCAACATGTGCCCAATCCTCTGTTCCCTTCTGCCACAGCGAAAGCAATTGCTGTACCACTGCCCTCATTTTGCAAAGCGTTTTCCTTGAGCTCGCCTGCCTCTGTGTGAGGGGTGTGCTGTACAAAGTCCTCGCACTACTGAAGCAGATTGGGTGCCCTGTCATCACTTCATTTATGGATACACAGCCTCAACAAATTCACCACACATCTGAACTCCCGGCAATCCGAGCCTGGAGGGGGACAGAGCCCATCGCTGCGACAAAGGGCGGCGCAGGTTCTCGGCCCCGCCAAGGTCGGAGCACTGAAAGGACCTGTCTCCAGCAGGCAGGGTTTGGAGCTACCCCCGGGCGTGCGGCTCAGCCGGGGCAGGGGCGGACGAGGCTGCCCAGCAGCCCGGGGCAGGGGGCAGCGCGCAGGCCGTGCCCCTCCCGCATCCGCGCATCCCCCGCGGGTCTCGCCTGCGGGCAGCGCCCCGCTCCGCCGGCCACCGCGGCGGCACCTGCGGCTGCAGGGGCGGGCCCAGAGCCGTGCCAAAAACACCTAAAGAAGCAAACACAAAGGGATGCGATCCGGCTGGTGCCCGCCGAGCAACCCGCGGGGAGCCCTCCGGGAAACACCTGAAAATGGGACGGCTCTGCCCTTGCTGCCCGCAGCTGCGGGAGCTCCTG